TCAGACAGGGAGATGCAGGAGTTGAGGGAGTTCATTGACAAAAACCTGAAACGAGGTTTCATCAGAGAGTCCCGAGCGGTGGGGGGCAGCCCAGTGTTTTTTGTGGACAAAAAAAACACAGATAAGCCGAGGCTTGTAGTGGACTTTAGGGCCCTGAATGCAGTGTCGGAACCCCTGGCTTTCCCTATGCCCCGAATTGATGACATTTTGACTAGGGTGAGGAAGGGAAAGATTTTTACAAAACTGGACCTGCGGGGGGCGTACAACCTGATACGAATAAGGAAGGGGGATGAATGGAAAACCACCATGTTCACCCCTTTGGGAGCCTTTGAATATCTCGTTATGCCCTTCGGTCTACAAGCCGGCTCGGCGTGTTTTCAAGCCTTTATGAATCACGTCCTGGGACCTCTGCTCTACAAGAATTGTGTGGCCTTTTTAGACGACGTGTTGGTGTATTCGGAGAATGAGGAGCAGCATGTGAGGGACGTTCGAGAAGTGTTGGGCAGGCTGCAAGCCAACCAGCTGTGGGTGAAACTGGAGAAGTGTCAGTTTCATACCAAGGAGGTGGAATTCCTGGGGTACCGCTTGTCGGACAAGGGATTGGCCATGGATCCAGGCAAGGTCCAAGCGGTACTGGAATGGAAAACACCGAAGACCAAGAAGGATGTGCAAAGATTCCTGGGGTTTGGGAACTTTTATCGGAAGTTCATCAAGAACTTTGCCCACTTGACGGCTCCCATCACCGACTGCCTCAGCAGCAAGAAGAAATTTGTTTGGACGGCGGAGGCGGAGCGAGCTTTTGAAGAACTGAAAAGGGCTTTCGCCTCGGAAGAACAACTTCTGCATGTGGATTTACAAAAACCCATGAGAGTGGAAACCGATGCGTCAGACCGGGCGGTAGGGGCGGTGCTTCTTCAACCGGGGAGGAGTACATCGGAGTGGAGACCGTGTGCCTTCTTCTCGCGGAAGCTGAATAAATCCGAGAGGAACTACACGGTGTATGACCGGGAACTACTCGCCATTCACGAAGCGTTCCGGAGGTGGAGACATTTATTAATTGGGGCACAACACAAGGTGCAAGTGTGCACCGACCACAAGAATTTAGAGTATTGGAGAACGGCTCGAGTGCTCAACCAACGACAAGTGAGATGGGCACAGGAGTTCTCCAAATTCCACTTTGAAATTCGTTATGTGCCAGGCCCAGAAAACGTCAGGGCGGACGCTCTCTCACGCAAACCAGAGTATTTGGAGGGGGAGGGGGCAATCGAAGAGAGACATGTCATCCCTGAGGACCGCTGGGTGTGTGGGGCGGCGCTGGTGGGGCAACGAGAACTGGTAGAGGAAACGGAAAATGATGAATATGCCCAGGATAAGCTCAGAGGTCTCAGGGGGGAGGGCGAGAGCCCCGGGGGTTTTGAGGAAAGAAATGGGGCATTGTATTACAAAGGGGCACTGTATATACCCGAAGGTGAATTGAGGGGGAGAGTACTCAAGCAGTTGCACGATAGCCCCACGGCGGGACATTTTGGGCAACACAAGACCATGTGGTTGGTTACCAGGGAATTTTGGTGGCCCAAGGTGAGGGAAGATGTAAGGGAGTATGTAAGAGGGTGTGACCAATGTCAGCGAGCCAAAGGGGAAAGACGGGCGCCAGCAGGGTTATTAGAACCATTACCCACGCCAGAACGACCTTGGGAAGCGGTATCGATAGATTTTATGACGGATCTGCCGAAGTCCAAGGGGAAAACAGCCATCATGGTAGTAGTAGACCTGTTAACTAAGATGTGCCACTTTGTAGCATGCTCACATGCAGTCACAGCGGAAGAAACCGCGAAGTTGTTTGTAGAACACATCTTTAGGTTGCACGGCGCCCCCTTGAGGGTGATCTCAGACAGGGGCAAACAATTTACGTCCAGGTTCTGGAGGAAGCTCATGAGCTTGCTGCACGTGGAGGTCAATTTTTCGACTGCCCGGCACCCTGAAACCAACGGGCAGGCGGAAAGAGCAAATGGTATCCTCCAACAATACCTGAGGTGTTATGTCAATGACAGAGAGAACGATTGGGTCGAAAAGTTGGCGCTGGCAGAATTTGCCTACAATAATGCGGAGAATGTGTCCACAGGGATGAGCCCCTTTTTGGCTAATTACGGGTGTCACCCCAGGGCATTTCCAGGGGATGGAGGGGAGAGATGGAGCGTCCCAGCGGCCGAACATTTTGTAGAAGAGATGGAAGCGATCCATCATCAGCTCCAGCTCAACTTAGAAAGGGCCAAGGCACAATATAAGAAGCAGGCAGACAAGAACAGAAGGGAAGGTGAAACCATAAGGGTGGGGGATCAGGTGTGGCTGTCAACCCAAGGGTTGCCTTTCAAAGGGGGTTGTAAGAAATTGAGACCCAAAAGATTGGGACCCTTTGAGGTCATTCAGCAGGTCAACCCAGTGGCTTTCAAACTCCGGTTGCCCAACCACATGAAATTGCACCCAGTGTTCCACAGGTCGTTACTGTCACCGTACAGGGGGGGACGTGAAGGGGAGCACGCCAGGGGACCAGCCTTGGAAGAAAGGGAACGCAGCAACCATGTAGCGGAAATCCTCGATTCCAGGTGGAAGGGAAATCAGGTGGAGTATTTGGTGGCGTGGGAAGGGGAACCGGAGTCAGAAAACACCTGGGTGACTGCAGGGGAGGTCAATGACGAGGTTTTAATAGAAACGTTCCACCAAAGATTCCCGAGGAAACCTCAGCCGGTAGCAAGGTTTAGGAGGGAGTATTTCGGCACCACCGACGAGGAAGAGGAACTGGAAGGATTCGAGGATTCGGAGTTGGAAGAGGGAATTGACTCCGATGACGAGGAGTACCGGGAGACCAGGGACAGCAACAAGTGGAGGGAAGTGTTCGAAACTTCGGAAGATGAGGGAGGTTCTTTCAGGGGTTTTACCTCCTCACCGCCCATAGAGGAGGAGACGGGAGGGGGTGAAGGGGGCCCTGGAGGGGAGGTGGATGTCAGGGAACTGCCATCGGAAGGACAGGAGGTGGAAAGGCTCACTGAGGTTGAGAGAGACGTAGCAGCTGAAGAGGGAACCAGTAGGGGGAGAGAAGGAACTCCAAGGGAAAGTGAGTCGGAGGGATGGCTCAGAGACGCTTCCAGTGAAAACAGTGGGGAGGTCTCAGGACCTCCTATAGGGACACCCACTCCTCGCCGGAAACTGTCACGCAGAGAGTCCAGAAGACGTGTTTCCGTTAAGGAGCTTTTATGTTGGAAGAGATTCCGAAAGCAACCACTTTCGGACTCTGCTAGCGACTGACGCAGCCATGCCGGAGGGGCTCCGTCACAGGCAGAGGTTTGAGAACCTGATCAAACTCTGAGGGACTTGCATTTTACGCACAAGCAGCTTATTATCCCATCACAATACGATAACAACAAGAAGATGAAGAAAGTAATAAAGGACTATCTGGATTGAACTGGATAAAAGGTAAAGGTACCCCTGCCCGTACGGGCCAGTCTTGACAGACTCTAGGGTTGTGCGCCCATCTCACTCAAGAGGCCGGGGGCCAGCGCTGTCCGGAGACACTTCCAGGTCACGTGGCCAGCGTGACATCGCTGCTCTGGCGAGCCAGAGCCGCACACGGAAACGCCGTTTACCTTCCCGCTGGTAAGCGGTCCCTATTTATCTACTTGCACCCGAGAGTGCTTTCGAACTGCTAGGTTGGCAGGCGCTGGGACCGAACAACGGGAGCGCACCCCGCCGCGGGGATTCGAACCGCCGACCTTTCGATCGGCAAGCCCTAGGCGCTGAGGCTTTTACCCACAGCGCCACCCGCCTCCCATTGAACTGGATAGAATTGTTTAATTAAAGCAGCAATATAAGTGATGTTTGGACTCGTTTGGAGCTTGATGTATGGGTACCCCCAACAAAATTTAAAATTTGGCTGTATAATTTGGAACTAATGTGATTTGGATAATGTGATGTGATTGGCCTGTTAATAAAAATTATTTTTTTTTAAAAAAGAGGCTAACCTCCCCTATGTTGAATTACAAATTTGGCGTAGGATATTTACTTATTGGCTTCGCCTAAATTTAATCCCCACTGGTCTATTACCCTTGGTATCGCAAGGTTGTCATGAGAGCACTTGGACTAAAATTGTCAAGAAAAAGCTTTCCTTTTCTGGTTTGTGACCGCAAAAGTTTATTAACACTGGGTTTCGTAAAGCAAATAATTTAATTAGACAGCGCCTATATGATACTGAGAGACAGAATAATTTGGCCACAATAAGGAAATTTTGTCCATGGTATGATTATTTCCCACCTAGTCATTTTGACATGTTGGCACCCTACCTGCAAAATTTAACAATTCCAAAATACAGACACACTTTCACTTTTGCATTTTTGCACTTTCACCTTTGGCTGTACTTGAGGGTCGATTTCAAAAAATTCGGCTGGAAAAACGGTCATGTTCATGTGGAGATGGCAGTATTGAGTCAGTGGTTCATGTGCTTCTGGCTTGCACTCTTTCTAAAGATTTGAGGAGTGAGGTTATTACCCCTCTATTATTGTCTATGCCAGGCAGCTCAACGATTGCTACTGTGTCCTTTCTTCTAGCAGATCAAGATGATCAGGCGACAGAAAAAACTGCAAGGTTTTTAGGTGGGGGCAATTAGAATAAGATCTATTATTTGATTATTGATGTAAACCTCCAAAATGCATTTTGTATAGTTAAGTTTTACCTCTATCTTCAGTATATTTTATTTTATTTTATTGCTATAGATAGTGGCTGATGCATTTAAAGATTCTTCTGATCTGATCTATCTGATCACACTTGCAAAGAAATAATTAATTAGCTTTACACTGCACTAATGTTATGTCTTTCAAAAACAAATGCAAGCAGTTTAAAATCTTATCTAATAAAGAAAGCAGCCCTAGCAATATCAATTAAAGCAAATACAGGGATCATTAATTCATGAAATAAATTTTAACTGCATCAATTCAATTCTGTGCCCTCAGAATAATGCCTCCAAGCTTTTGTTGGCTATTATGGAAAGCAGGCACGACAGTGAAAATGCTGAAAGAATCCTTTTCAACATGAGACCAAGAGAGCTGGTAAGTAAATATTTGTATATTCTTTATCTTTTTAATTGAAAATGTCACCATCATTTTGTAAAATAAATTATTTGATATCGCTTAGTAGTTTCTGCACCCAGACAGTGACTGGATGTCACATCAGGATGGGAGCCACAAGTCACAAATAGTTCTTTAAACAGGTCAAGCATTTAAGCAGGTCTGTCTTTATGACTTCATTACTGTTATTCATTATAAGCATTATTTTCTATAATTGTTTTCTTAACTAAATTATCATACTTCAGTAAGCTCTCTTGGGAGTACATTACAAGCTGAAGAACCTAAGTTAACCATAAAAACCTGTATTATAAAATAAAATAAGCTTAAATTCAATAAAACATTTTTGCTGTATCTCTCCCCCACCGTTCCTTGCAAATAGAGGCTGTGCTGTCCCAAGGGCCCAACATAGGTTATAGCCATTTTGTCAATTATTTTCCAATATAAACCCAATTACACAAATTAGTTCCAAATTAATACAATTTTGTTAAGAGGCCTCCCACGCATCATTCTTGATGGATCTTTATGATCTAATATTACTGCATTTCATATTCTTATTTATTTCTATTACATTCCATTTTTTAAAATTATCACATAATTAACAGCTGCACTTTTAATCATTTCTATTCATGTTATTATATTATTTAACTTCCAAAAAAAGCTTCAAGTGAGGAACCATAGCTTTTTCCTTTTCATTCTGCGAATGCCACATCCGAAAGTCAGTTGTTAGTCTCTTGGCCTTATATGTCTCTATGATGTTTTCCTTTTTCCTGCAGCATTTGGGAGTATCTCCTTACTCCCACTACAGTGGTGCCTCGCAAGACGAAAAGAATCCGTTCCGCGAGTCTCTTTGTCTAGCGGTTTTTTTGTCTTGCGAACCAACCCTATTAGCGGATTAGCGCTATTAGCGGTTTAGCGGCTTAGCGGCTATTAAAGGCTTAGCGGCTTAGCTGCTAAAAGGCTATTAGCGGCTTAGCGGCTTAGAAAAAGGGGGGGAGCGAGAGAAAAATCTCAAGACTTGCAAGATGTTTTCGTCTTGCGAAGCAAGCCCATAGGTAAAATCGTCTTGCGAAGCAACTCAAAAACGGAAAACCCTTTCGTCTAGCAGGTTTTCCGTCTTGTGAGGCATTCGTCTTGCGGGGGACCACTGTATTGTTGTTGTATTCCAGCCTGGTTGTGGCGAAGCGGCAACTTCAAGGTTAAAGCCTCTTTTTTCTCTGACTCAGCTCCTTCCCATAATACTCAAGCAGTTCCAAATTGACAAGAGCAGATCCCTCCCTTCCACTGGCACCAAGAATCAACAAGTTCCAGAGATTCGCCATTTCTTCCTCTGGCTGGGAAGAGAGGGAAAAGTCGGTGCCATTCCTCTTCCAACATACAAAAAGCCCTCATGCCACTTTCCTTCTGCCGCTACCATAGCATTTTGCTTTTTTAAAAAATTGGTTATATCCAGTGCTTTTTTTCTAAAAACATGTTTAGGGGTACTCTCATTATCCTACTCATAAGGAAATACTGCTCCTCAATGAGACCAAACTTAAATTCACAAAATGTTTAGAGGTATGCGTACCCCTGCATACCCCCCAGAAAAAAGCACTGGTTATATCTCAACTTCTCCATGATCTCTTAGTCTTTAAGTCTTTTTTAGGGCGGGGGGGTGGGGGTGGGTAGGCTCTAACTCCCAGCGATATCTTTCCAAACAAAACAACCAGGCTCTCCTTCCGCCTTTACTCCTTTCAAGCCACACACAGCTTTACATCTTCTTTTAAATATCTCTTCATCAAGCCATCCTCACTTGTATAGTTTAAAATCCAGTATTAGGAGAGGGTTGCCGGATCAAAAATGTAAAAATTTCTATAAAATATAGCAAAGAGCCCTCCTCTCCTCCATCTACCTCCAGCACAAGATAGAATCTTCTCCCAATTTCAAACCTCTGTTCCATGCAGCTGATTGTTCACAGTTATAATGTCCATCTCGTCTGTTGTGCGCCTGTTCTTAATGCCAATTAAAACCCAATTATAAGGAGAACCTCTGCATCCAATGGCAATTTGGGGGGTGGGGTTTGCATCAGGAGAATTGCATAGCACCCAGTGCTTCCGCCTATCTCCACACTGATCTGTGCCAGGGCGAGCCATTGAGGCGACGGTGGGCTGCCAGTGCCTCCCGTACCCCAAGAGGTTTATAGGGAATTGTTTAACCCCTTCCACCCCCCTTTTCAGCCTGTGCCTCTCTGATGTTGAGAGAGCCATCACCATGGCACGGGACAGGAACTGGAAGCACTATAGCCATTTTGTATAGGGCAGGTCTTGGTCCTTTTTCCTTTGATTTGCAGCCCACATACCAGTGGTGGGCAGGACTGGAGCCAAACGTGAGCAGGGCTACACTCTCTTTCTATCTTCCTTATTCATTCCCCCACTCTCTCTCTCTCCCTCTCTCCACCAACAAACTTGCAGTTTACACTGGGGGAATCCACTCCAATTACAGTCCCCTCCCATGCAAATTGCAGCTACAGAGGATCCAGTCCAGACTGGGATCTTGGCATGGGGGTAGTGGGGTTTTAATCTTGCTGAAGTCTTAATCCAGATCACTCTCCCACACCTGCAATTTACACTGGGGGGGGGCCCTCCCATGTAGTAATTCCAGATGAGAGACTGGGAAAGAGTGGCTTGCCTGAGGCCATATAGTGAGTTAATGGCAGAAGTGACATTTAAACTAGAGTCTTCCTGGCTGACATCTCCTTTTCTGAGCTACCATACTACCCTTTGGTCATGTGGCTGGAGCACCATTTAAATATTGCAGCCATGCGGGCAGGACCTAATTTCATTGGGTCATTTAGACATTGCGCAAGCCACATGGAGGATTCTTACAAAAACAAAAAACAGTTTTAATGGTCTGAGGCAGCCTAACCAAGCTGGTGCCCTCCAAATGTTCTGAAAGGGTTGATGGAAGTAATAGGAGGGCATCAGGTTGTGAAGGCTAGTAGAGAAACATCTCAAATGCTCCCTTTAGGGTCATTCTTCTTCAGGTGCTGAAGACGGGCAGCTCCCCAAATGTGTAATAAAATTCCCACCAGCCCTGGCCACTGGCCACGCTGATTGCTGATTACATCTGGAGGCAGCCTCTTCCCTAAAACGTTGACATTAGCAGAGAGACAGAGAGAGACAAAGTCTCCATCAAACTTCTAGCCTGGATCTCCACTGCTGACTCCCAGCCAGTGTCAATACTGAGTGGATATGAATAAGGGAAGCAAAAGATGAAGGCTATAGACCCCATGTCTGAGAATCATGGAAAAGTGGGTGCAGTCAATGTTACAGGCTTTTCACCCCCTCCTCCATTCCAAAAATTAGTTATTGGCCAAGGATTTAACAGCTCAAACAACTCTTATTCACAGTTTCTCACCAGAGAAAAATCTGGTCAACATTTTTGTCATACAGACTAGTTTTCCTGTAATACTTTGGTTCCGCAACTTCTTAAAATTTCCATTGTCTGGTTTTTTTCCAAGAAAAAAATAATCCTGTCTTTGTGATGTTTCCTGATGAAAGAAAGATTATCTGACCTTTACGCATTATTTATTTCTCTGAAAGCAAGCAGCTGGATACCCCTATTGATCGGCAACTTGGAAATGAGAAACTCTGGTGTCCACTTAGTTTTCCTTTTAATGGGCACCATTATCCTTAATAAAAATAACTCCATCTCCCCCACTGAAATTTCTTTATACAGTGGTACCTCTGGTTACGAACATAATTCGTTCCAGAGGTCCATTCTTAACCCAAAACCATTCTTAACCTGAGGCGTGTTTCACTAATGGGGCGCTGCGCTGCTGCCACGCAACTTCCACTCGCAAAGTTCACTACCAGGAGACATACTTCTGGGTTAGCGGAGGTCGTTTCCTGAAGCGTTCATAAGGAGGACGGTACGTAACCCAAGCTTTCACTGTATTCAGGAGAACTAGATCCCCCACCCCCGCCACATACTCCAATGAACTTTTGCACATTTCCTCTTCATTTGGAAAAAAATATGTAATGATATGTCCTCTCTGAAATGAACTGTTGAAATTAATCCAAATTTGATTTGTTACTTTGAAACTAGCGTCAGTATATTTCATGTCAACTGCATTTCAATTTGTTTTGAAGGTGGATGTAATGAAGAATGCATACAGTCAGGGTCTGGAGAGTGAACATGATGAGGAAAATGGGGGTGACGGTGTTTCGCCAAAAGATGTTGGACATAATATCTATATATTAGCTCATCAGGTATTGCATTGTGTTGCCCTGTGAATGCTTTAATTCTGTACCCGTCTACTGAAAAGTAAATCCCACTGAGTTCAATGTGGCTTAGTCCTGGGAGAGTAGGGAAGGGATTGAAGTTAGTTAATACCTTACCATTGGAAATTGTTACAAAAAATATTTCTCTGTGTGTCTGTGAAATTTTGGCCTGTTGCAGTGCATTCCCAAGCAGTGTGCCAGTACTTCCCACACCCATGCAGCAAACCACATTGGAGGCACCCTGGGAAATGAGAAAGAATCAAAGGGCAGAGACCTACTAGGTGGCAAAGTAGGCAGGGACCTCCTTCCACTGCTGCCCACCACCAGATAAGGGAGGGGAGAATCCTATCTCCATTGGAGTAGCAGCAGCGTTCAACAGGAGTCCTGGGATTTGGATCCATTGCACTCCTGAGACGTGGTATTTTCTGACTTCATAGGAAAATAGCTTGGTTAGCTGAGTCCTGTATACCAATCAAGCTTTGCCCATCTCTCCTGAAAAAGCAGACCTGTCAGCTGGGAAAATGCATTTGATAGGAAGCCTGTATGCATATCATCCTTGGCCACACGGCTGTTATTTCAAGGTGGGGGAGGGGGCAGGGGAAGCTTGGGTGCAGCAATATACAACACTGCAGCTCCACTGGTGCAACAGCATTCTGCGTGCACAATGGAAATTCCTCTTCCTCTCCTGTCCCCTCTAGTCTTCCATTGCCCCTCAAAATCACCTCCAGACACTTGGGGGACGTGCAGGGGGAGGAGATGAAAAAGAAGTCCCGTTGCATCAGTGGCACTATTCCTGCAGAGTAGTGGATGCAACCCACAGGCTGTGATTTCATTAGTTGAGTTTTCTCAACTTAGCGTCCCACAGAAGATCATCCCATATAACCAAATAATGATAATGCAATCCCTGAGATGATTACTGTATGTCAGCATTTCCTGAGTGTTAGTTGAGCAACACTGCTGACTCAGATTGCCTAACACTGATAACTAGAAGTGGCACCCTATACACCAGAGCTTTCCAAACCTTTCATGTTGGTGACACCCTTTTTAGACATGCATCATTTTATGACACAATAATTCAGTTTTACTAGCAAACTGGTAGGCTACTAGCCTGTGCTTGGCTTGATGAGTTACAAATTCTACAAGCTTGCCATAGTTCATATGGTTTAGCTTGGCCTTTGAGTCCCAGCTGGAGAATATCCTGGATTTTAATTGGCCCCAGGAAAGCTTTGCAATCTCTGCAGTGATTACAAGAAGCCGCAGAAACTAGATTCATGTTCCTCTATTTGTTATCTCAGCCTTGTTACGACAGTTTATTTTGGGGGCACTCAGACTCTCAGTTTCTGTTGCTGTTTAAAAGGCAGTAGCCAGTTCTGCATTTTGCCACATCCTTTCCTGCTCCTACTTGTGGTTGATCTTACCAAAAGCATTATTGTAAGTTGCTGACCTTCCATGCTTAGAAAGATATAAACAGTGCTTTTTTCTAGGGGATGCAGGGGTATGCATACCCCTAAACATTTTGTAATCTGAGTTTGGCCTCGCTGAGGGGCAGTATTTCAATATGAGAAGGAAAATGAGAATACCCCTAAACAATTTTTTAAGAAAAAAAGCACTGGATATAAATATGTTGCAATGTAATGTGGGAGATAGGATAGCACCACATGCTCCTAGATGAGACATCGGCAAGAAACACATGTTTACTCTCCCATACGCAAGCTATTGTTTCTTCTCAGTATTTTCCTGTGTTGCATCTTCTCATACATTTCTTGCTTGCTGTTTTTGTGTTACTGTTTTCCTCTCTTTTTCATCCTACTTCCACCTGCCATTTAAGGTCACTGTTTCCATAGATCACAAATGATTAGCTTAATTCCCTCCTAAAACTGCTGCTTCCATCAAGAGCAATGCCTCATCCCCTGTACTAGTGGTTAGAGCCCACGATGAGATGCAGATTCTAAGTAATAGGGCTGAGCCATTTATGAGAGTTTACATATGCAACATTATTTCCACAACCCATGGTAAAATACTGGCAAAAGTGGCAGAAATGGTGGGAAATGCAACCTGTTTGTTGCATACAGCATCGCTAGATGCTTCCTATGACCTCCAGTAAAAAGGAAGAGATAATTTGCATGAGATGAGCAATGTTTACTAACTACTAGGTAAATGTTTGTTGTCGTAACTGGGGAGATGCATGTGGCTTGTGCATTGCAGGTGGGGGAGGCTTGGGAGAGGGAGCAATGTGCCTTGTGTGTCCTGTGCATGGAGGCACATTGCACCCTCCATAAGATGAGGATTGGTTGGTAGTCTAGTCCAGTGTTTCCCAACCGGTGTTCCGCGGCACACCAGTGTGCCGTGAGACCTTGCCTGGTGTGCCGTGGGAGGGAGGCGGGAGAGGCGGGGCGGCGCGGCGCCCGAGATCGCTTCTCCCCACCGCCCCTTGCTTCAAAAGAGGTCCGGGGACAGCGGGAAGCGCTTCGCGCTGCCCCCGGACCTCTTTTGAAGCAAGGGGCTGCGGGGAGATCGCTTCTCCCGGTGCTCCGAAGCGGGGCGGGGGGCGGGAACCTGCAGCGCGGAGCGCGGGGCGCCCTTTGGAGGACGCCCCGTGCTTCGCGCAGCTGTCCGCAAGCCTTGGGCGCCCGGGGGAACTCCCCCCCCGGCGCGCAAGGCTTGCGGGCGGCAGCCTGCAGCGCGGAGCGCGGGGCGCCCTTTGGAAGACGCCCCGTGCTTCACGCAGCTGTCCGCAAGCCTTGGGCGCCTGGGGGAACTCCCCCCCGGCGCGCAAGGCTTGCGGGCGGCAGCCTGCAGCGCGGGGCGGGCGCCCTTTGGAGGACGCCCCGTGCTTCGCGCAGCTGTCCGCAAGCCTTGGGCGCCTGGGGGAACTCCCCCCCGGCGCGCAAGGCTTGCGGGCGGCAGCCTGCAGCGCGGAGCGCGGGGCGCCCTTGGAGGACGCCCCGTGCTTCGCGCAGCTGTCCGCAAGCCTTGGGCGCCTGGGGGAACTCACCCCCGGCGCGCAAGGCTTGCGGGCGGCAGCCTGCAGCGCGGAGCGCGGGGTGCCCTTTGGAGGACGCCCCGTGCTTCGCGCAGCTGTCCGCAAGCCTTGGGCGCCTGGGGGAACTCCCCCCGGCGCGCAAGGCTTGCGGGCGGCAGCCTGCAGCGCGGAGCACGGGGCGCCCTTTGGAGGACGCCCCGTGCTTCGCGCAGCTGTCCGCAAGCCTTGGGCGCCTGGGGGAACTCCCCCCCCCGGCGCGCAAGGCTTGCGGCGGCAGCCTGCAGCGCGGAGCGCGGGGCGTCCTTCGGAGGACGCCCCGTTCTTCGCGCAGCTGTCCGCAAGCCTTGCGCGCCCAGGGGAACTCCCCCCCGCGTGCACGGCTTGCGGGCGGCAGCCAGCAGCGCGGAGCACGGGGCGCCCTCCGTAGGAGGCTGCGGAGGGTGGCGCGGAGCTGCCGCGCTCCAAGGCTTCTGTGCAGCTCCGCGCCACCCCCGGATCCCGGTGCGAAGCCGCGCGGGGCTGCGGAGGGTGGCACGGAGCTGCCTGCGCTCCAGGGCTTCTTGCAGCTCCGCGCCACCCCCCCCCATCCCGGCGCGAAGCCCGCGCGGGGCTGCGGAGGGTGGTGCGAAGCTGCCTGCGCTCCAGGGCTTCTTGCAGCTCCGCGCCACCCCCCGGATCCCAGCGCGAAGCCGCACGGGGCTCTGGAGGGTAGTGCAGAGCTGCCTGCATCCCGAAGCCTGGTGCACGCTGAAGAGCGCCCCCGGGCTTCACGCACCTCTCCGCAAGCCTGGGGAGACCAGTGTGGCTCCCTAGGATTGCGGATATCAGGCTGTTCTGGGGGCTGGGGTCGGGGGAAGCTTGGGTTTCCCCCGCGCCTGCCCCGTGCCTGGGGAGGGGAAAATTTTTTTTTCTTTATTCTCCCCCCCAAAAATTAGGTGCGTCTTATGGGGCGGTGCGTCCTATGGGGCGAAAAATATGGTAGTCAATATAGGCACAGAGTTAAATTTTTTAACATTTTCTAATGGTGGTGTGCCTCCAGATTTTTTTCATGAAACAAGTGTGCCTTTGCCCAAAAAAAGGTTGGGAAACACTGGTCTAGTCATCCTATCAGAAGATTCCCCCCCCCCCGGCATTGTTTTCTCCAGATTCAGGTCCTCCCTTTTCCTATATGAGAGAATGGCAGATACTCACTAGGATGGATGAACCTCAAAGGGGCAGGGGTGCCAAACCTACCTGCTGTTCTTGGTCTCTCCAGTGCTTTGTTTTGTCTATTGTTAACTGTGCCTCAAACTTCAGGAGAACAAAAACGAAGGAGCAAGTGACACTAATAGGAAGGTAAAGAAAAGGAAAAGCTCCAAATGATGCTTGAAATAGAGACACTTGTTAGAAAATACAACAGGTGGTATTCAGCTAAGTTCTACTCAGAGTAGACCCATTGAAATTAATAGTCATGGCTAACTGTGATTCATTCAATTCAGTGAGTCTACTCTGAGTAGGACTTGGTTGAATGCAATCCATTTCACAGATGTTGATGGACTGCAACTCCAGTTGGTCTTAGCCAACAGAGATTGCCAATGGGCAGAGGTGATGGGAGACATAGTCCTACAACATCTGGAAAGCATTGGGATCTCCACCTCTGCTTTAAAGAGGCTTTGTCAATTTGCATTAATAATAGAAGAGGCTTCAGATACAGTCTTCTCTTTCGCTGGCACAACTTCCTTGATTATAATAGAATTGGATTGTGCCAATCAACAGTGTAGCATTAAAAAACAGGGTGAAAGCACTCAGGCCCACTTTGTACAATCAGGAAAACCATGTGGTGAAGCCTTTCTTTGACTGTTCCAACTTGGGCTTGGGGCGGGGGGGGGGTGCATTTCAGTACTCAAAAAATGGGGGAGGAACCCCCTGCACGTAAAAACCAGCATTTCAAGAAGATTTTAGTCTAATCTACATGGAATGCTATTTGCCTTTATGCGGAGAGATGGTTCTGCCCTAACTCTTGAAT